AAGCCCAAAGATGAAGTCAAGGCTCATCGACTTCCAACAGTCAGCCGGTACGGGCAGGCTCTGTAGTGGAGCCGAAGAGTGCTCTGCGGGTTTGACCCGCTGACATTTTTAACATGTCTTCACGTATCGGGCGACCCATGGGTCCACCAGAAGGCCTGAGAGACCGACAGAAAGGTCTTCTCGCGGACCAAGTGGCCGCTGGAGGGCGCTTCGTGCGCCTCCGCGAGGATGTCAAACTTCAGATCCTCGTCGTTGGGTACGACCACCCTTGGAGGTTCATTGGGCTCCACCCGGTAGTAGAGGAGGTCATCCTTCAGCTCATATCGGTGGAGCCGTGAGCACTGTCGCGACGAGAACCAGTCGGACTTCGCGCTCGCTCCTGCCGTGAAGAACTGGACGATAGGCACGACAGCCTCATCGTCCCGATACGCCATGCGTATCCGATCATATAGATCCGTTGTCACCCGTGTGATGTGGGCCAACTCGTAGTCAGGACGCCGAGAGAGGGCGTCCGCAAGCACGTTGAGCTTGCCCGGCTTGTATTCGACGCGGAACTTGTACTCCGCGAAGAAGGACAGCCACCTCGCCATCCTTTGGGAGAGGTGAGGCGAGTTAGTCGCCGTCCTCAAGGGAGCGTGGTCTGTGAAGATCGCAATGAAATATGCCCTTGTCGTGGACAGGGTAGTTCCGTTCGGCGGATTTGAGCTGCCTGGACTGGAACGAGATGACTCGTTCATGTCCAGCCGTGTCGGCCTGCAGCAATGCACACCCGATGGCGTAGTCGGAGGCATCGCAGACGACGCTAAACGGCTTCGTCTCGTCCGGCAGGGCCAGAACAGGGGCCTCTCGGAGACTGGCCTTGATGCTGTCAAAGGCATCCTGGTGCTCTTGCTCCCAGTGCCAGTCGACGTCCTTTTGAAGGAGGCCCGACAAGGGCTTAGCAAAGCCCGCGTACCCCGCGCTGTACTTGTGAAGGTAGTTGGCCAATCCCAACCACTTTCGGATATTCTTCTGGGATCGGGGCGTTGGCCATACTGCTATGGCCTTGACCTTGTCTGGGTCAGCCCGAACGCCCACGTTCCTTACGAAGCAACCGAGAACTTTAATCTCTGGTGACGCGAAAACGCACTTGTCGATGTTGGCGTAGAGCTTGTTTGCTCGCATTACGCCCAACACTCGACGGAGGTGTTCTAGATGCTCCTCCATGGTCGTCTTGCCTCCCTCGGCACGGCTATGGACGAATATGCCGTCGAAGTACGTCTGTACGAAGGTACGCAAAGGGCGGAGCAATTGCGTCACCAGGCGATTGAACGTCGCCGGGACGTTAGACAAGCCCTGCGGCTTGACGAGCCACTCCCAAAGCATGCCGCTTGGAGTGCTCACCGCGGTGAGCGGGATGTCGCTCTCTCGCATCAGGATCTGGTAGTATACGTCTACCAAATCCAGCGCACTGTACACGGCCATGTTGTTTAACAACACATCCTTTCGTGGGTTTGGTGTTTGGGCCGGCACCGTCGCGTTGTTCAGCTTTTATAAGCATGGGCTAGACGCCACTTTCCGCTCGGCTTCTGAACGCAGTTGGCGTCGAGTGCGGGGATTTCGACTCTCGCACCATGCCTGCCTTTGCTTTCGCGGCAAAGAAGGCATCAATGACCTCGCACTGTTCGCGCGAGAGAGGCCATTGCCTCGTGACACAATACTTTGTGCCAGGCACGAGATCAATCTCATGCCGCACACTCGATCCGGTGGGAGTTGGGTCGGTGGGTGTTTGTTCACCACGTCCGCATACTCCGTCACCAAAGGATACACCGGATCCTTGGGGTTCTTAAGGATCTCAGAACCCAAGCGCGTCTGACGCTGCTTTTTATGGTCTTCCAGGACGTTCTCGTCCAAGACAGAGAAGGAGTTCAGCTCCTCCCGAGTGGTCTCAGGTCTCCTGAGCACCATCTCGGCAACTTTTCTAGCCTTGAGGTTGGCCAGCAAAGACTCGACCGTCATTTCCTCGAGGTTCAGTATCTCTGCAACCTCTGGCAACGGTTCCAAGTGAGCACCAGATATCTTGACGGGTAAACCGGTCTCGTCATCGAAGATGTGATAGCACTCTTCCACCGGCCTTGTCGGAGGAGCCCGGGCCCTGGACTCCGAGTCGCTTGAAGCGAGGCGATCTGAACGAAGTTCGGATCCGACTTGTGGCGGCAGTGGCGTCGTCGTCGACGGCGACCGTGACGTGGAGCTTTGCTACCCACGTTTGGGGATGTCGGCGCTCCGACATCCGAGGCACTCGTGGCCTCGTGTGGTACTATGGTACCCACACAGGAAGCGTGTTCGACGCCTTCTTCTTCAGTTAAGGTCTGGGCGACCGTGTGTGAAACTCTGTTACCCACCTTGAACACAATATTATCAGTGTTCGTGACAGCTGCAGCTGTCTGCGGAGCTAAGTTACCCGCTTGTGGACCTAAGTAACCCACTTGGCCGGCGCCTCCTCTGGGCGCTGCCACCATCGAAACATCCGTGGAGTCGTCATATTCGTCGACGACTCCCAAGCATCTGCCGGATGCTTTGGTACCCTGGCAACCCTTGTGGGCGCCCCGGGTCCTGACAGAGGTGGGAACATGACTCACCAATGCTCTGTCGGACTGCGCAGGGCGGCGAACACTGATTGCCTTGCCTCGCCAGTCGATCTAGGGCTCGTGCTTCACAAGCCAGGGCATGCCCAGGATCATATCATATGGATCCATATCGAGAACAGTGAGCTGTTCGAGGCTATCAAAGTCTTCAAACTTGACGGCTAGATCCACTTGGACGTTGGGGACAGTGACGACCTTCCCATCGGCCATCCGCACTGACACCGTCCCGTTGCCCTTGCTTTCTCTCAATGCATCGGACAACTTGTTGCTATTACGAGCAACCGTCTGGCGGCGTGCGAAATTCTTCGACGCCCCAGAATCGATCAAGATCCTAAAGGGATGATCATATCCCCGTACACATCCGTGTAATACGAGCAACCCGCCGCTGCTCTTCGCCGATTCGAGAGTGCGAAGACTCTCAAGGGCTAAGTCCCCGTGGTACGAGCCATCCGCGCACCCATCACGAAGACTTAGTTCTTCCCCAGTAGGGCGCCCCGCCCCTACTGGTTCCCGGCGTTCCCCTGTCCCCGAGATCCTGGCTTCTGCCAGCGACTTTTGAGGACGGGCTGGGGAAAGACCGTCTGCGGAGTCTTTCCGCGGGACAGTCGCGCTTGAAGTGGCCCATATTCCCGCAGCCAAAGTAGCGGATGTCACGCTGCTCGGCGGACCCGAGTTTCATGGGAACTGGTCTGTTGGGGCTCGCTCGACCGGGAGTCGACAAGGAACTCCCAGGCCACGCTGATGCCGGCGTACGCGCCTGGCGATGGCTGTGCTCTTCCTGAAGAGCCACTTGGAACGCCTCTTCAAGGGTGTTTGACTGCACCAGGAGCAGCTGAGTGCGCGCGGGGCCTACTCGAAGGCCGTCCATGAACACAGTCATCTTGATGTGTTCGCTGAGTGGGTTCTCACTAGGGACGCCGTGAGTTCCCGTATCTCTTGCACGTACTCGTGCAGCTCACGCCTCCCTTGCTTGCACGAGAGGAAGCGCGAGCGCTGGCGGTACTCGTAGTTCGCCGGGAGGAACGCGGCTCGGAGCTGTTCACACAGCTGAGCCCAGGATGTAAAACATCCAGGGGATGTTGCCTTCCGTGTGTACACCCAGCTCTTAGCACGGCCGCTAAGGTTGGAGAGTGCAAAAACAACACGAAGTTGCTCGGTCGAGATCAGAGCCGCGTCCATCGCGAGCTCTACTTCTCGGACCCAGAAGTGAAGGCTCTCGCCTTCCTTCCCTTCATACGGCTTAACCTTCAGCCGTATTGGCTTCGGGTGAGGCGGATTCGCTTCCGCCGCCGGGGCCTGCATGTTCTCCCGCACATGCGCGATGAGCCCCCTGCTCGTACGCGTCAAACGCATTGACGCGCTCGAGCGGCTCGGCCGGTGTTGACACCACCAGGCTCTGCAGGGCCTCCATCCCGAAGATGCCTGCCATCTTCCGATCCGACTCGAACTGTGAGTCGTTCATATGGGAGAAGTCGTTCCTGTCCATAAAACGAGCTTCGGAGAGGTTCAGGTAGTCTACCCGCGGTGGCGTGGATTAACTACGAGTGCTGCCAAGTGTGATGGGGTCACACAGCACCTTGCGCTAGAGGAAGTTAGCTTCCGAGAGTATACAACCATTCAGTGAACGGCAGTTCACAGGTCCCCTCTTTATCAAAAGGGAGCGAAGTGACCTATGTAAGGTAGAATTTAAACTGAGTATATTTATAGGTAGATAAAGCTTGGGCTTATAACAAACTATAAGTCACCTATAGAAATGCAATGTCACCAGCCAATGGTTGGCTTTAGACAACCTTGGTACCTTGTACCAAATATCCCGGAGTATGACGTGTCACACTTCATGTAACTAGGGGTACAGTAAGGGCTACGTACCCCGTTACAAGGTGCTTCCACGTGCGACCTCATCCCAGGCCATCCGTTGACGCGAGCTCCGAGCACTAGCTGCGCAAGCTGCCGCCAGTCCTAGCCAGCGCAAATTACTCCGGCAATACGACTTATTTCTCCTCGTTAACGTTTGCACATAGATCTCTTGCAACAACCGCCTTAAGACTTGTGTCCGTCTGCAAGCGTAGACTACAAATTTAGCTGTTGTTCCACACCGATATACCGGCTCGACTACATTTAAAGGCCCCAACTTGGGTAGTACCGGTACATGTACTGTGCGTGGTACAGTCTTATGCAAATAATATCAAATGGAGGCACAGTGTGGTGTGCTAAAAATATTTCCAGTTAGCAACAAAGACCACGCACCAGACTTGATCATTTACCTATTGTTGCCGCTTACCTGCTGTCGTTGCTGCAAGCGTGACGAGCATGCTTGTACATGTATGTACGGTATAATAAGCCAAGTACGTGTACAGTACATGTACCCATTACATGTACCCTCGCCACCGCGACAAGCAGAAATGGGTGCGGCCACGGTACTATTCCGAAGTTCTGTACCTGCACGATGCAAATCAACTGAAAACAGCCGAGTTGGCCCGAATAGCTTCAGGTCTGAGACTCTCCCACCGAGAATCCATCGTCCCTGAATCTGAACCCACACGCTAAACTTAGCGCTGGGGAGCACATGGCCCAGGAAATACTAGTAATTGGACATCAAGCGGTTCGTTCGCAGCACGCAAGAGCAACGGCAACAACTAGTCACAAATTACAAAATTTGATCCAGTTTAGTCCAACTCATCATGTGCGCCAATCCCAGCGAGACTATTTCAAATCACTGAGTGCATCGTGGATCACAAGGCTTTTGTAAGCTCTTCTACTGTCTCTTTTTTATTGTTGATTACAGTATGGGCAATTCAATTTCCGCTGCGGGTAGGTTTAAAAACGAGGTTTTATCTCGTGGGAAGGACGTCGCCAAAGCTTACTTTACGTTTTACCAAAATAAGCATGAGGTTTTTTTATGCAATTTTTCCGCGGCCGTTCGCTGGCATTCGCCTCACTCGCGTAAACCCGGAGAAACAGCAAGTCCCAAGTCCTCAGCGAACGCGATCATGAGCCTCCGTGGACGACCCAGCAACAATGGCGGTGCCGCCAACCCACGTCTCTCCAACTCTCTGCACCGCTGCGCCATCGCTTTGTGCTCGAATCAGGCCGTCGCTGAGGGCGTGTGCTCCATGCATTTGTCTCGTAACGGGCGCGTGAGCGGGGGTCAGAACGCCGTCATGGACAGCCGCGCCATGGGCGTCCGCGGCCCACCTTCGTCCTCTGCGGGCATGGGCGACGGTATGGCTGACGACAGATACTACCGTGCAAGCGCACACGCCGCCATGCAGCCTCGCGCCGGTCCTTCCACAAAGAAGCACAAGCCATCGCCCGCCGAGCCTGTGAATCGCTACGCAATGGAAAACTCGGGCTCCAGCGGTGGCGGCTTGACACGTGAGAGTCTGAACGAAATGGTCAACCAGATGCAGTACTCAAAGAACTCGAGTATGTCCGCCTACGAGAACGACCCGTACGTGTCCGCACAGGCCTCAAACAGCGCCAACGGCTCAAACCGCTCCGAATCAGACGGCTCTGTGGACGAGACCAACCTTCGTCGTGAGCGCAACCGCATTGCCGCACGTAAAAGTCGTCAGCGCAAACTTGACCGTATTTCTAACCTCGAGGACGAGAAGATGCGTCTCGAGCAGCACCGCGACATGCTCGTACAGGAAATTCGCAGTCTGGAGAAGAAGGATTCAGGTGCCGCGTCGAACGTGGTGCTCACCATTACGGACAAGGAATACCAGCAGCTACAGAATAAGCGTCTGCAGATCATCAAGCACGTGGAGGAGGCGTACAACTCCGGTGACATTCTGTCGACGGTTAAGTACTTCCGCGATGACTCGATCGTCAGCGGCCCCCAGAACTCCTCGGTGCATCTGCGTGGCAAGGACGCATTGGTGTTGGACTATCTTTGCACGAACTACTTGTTCGGTGACGTGCGTCTGCACCACGCCAAGGTAGACTGCGGTGGTCCACGTAGCCAGCACTTTCGCGTGCATTGGGCGTTATCGGGCACGATCAAGAGTGCCGGCGTCAGCATGAACAAGGAGTTCCTCGAGCTGATTGAAAGTGTCAAGGGCCGCCGCGTCACCATCGAGGGTGTCAGCAACTTCTCGTTCAGCGGAGACAAGATCGTGTACGTGCACCGCACGGCAGACCAGGCCAAGTTTCTGTCGGCTCTTGTCAATCTGAGCAAACGGTAAGCGGGAAACAGAGAGCTGGTGGAGCGATCAGCGTAGCGACCTTCTAGCGGACAGTAGTGATGAATGCATACTTGCCATATATATGTGTATTTTTTTGCCTACTTTCTCGCATTGTAGCGCTCGTCCGATAGATCACCTTACTTACAGCTCCTCCTTGGCTGTGCGTTTACCAGCAGTGTTCTCCTGTCCGTCGCACGTAATGGCTTTGCGTTGAGGGAGACTGTAGAGATCGCGCAAGTAATCGAACACCTCGGAGCAGTTGCTTTCCTGTGTTTTAAGAGGTCAGGCGAGTGTGTGTAAAGGAGAAAGCAATTGATACGAGACAGGATAAGCTTAACGAACCTGGTAGAGCTGACAGGACCCCAGAGCGAAGGGCTCTACGTGGCGGATAAACTCTCGCGTACGCGCTGTAACAAGAAAGAAAACTACAAGTCAGAACACGTGATGTCGTCGAAAGACGAGAGCGAGGACGTACACACGCCTGGGAACTCTCGGAAGAAGCGGTCGTGAAGCAGACCCATGCGGTGAAAGTACACGAGTTTGCGGTACCTGTATTCATCACCATTACGTCACTATTACTGTAGCTAAGAGCAAATCCATAAAGCACAACAATCGCAGACCAGTGTAGCAGGCGCTGCTAATCGTGGTCGAATTTGCGGTCCCAGAGCTTGTCGTCGTGCGAGTGGCACGCAACGTGCTGTGGTGAGACGCCAGGTGGCAATGAAAACTCCTCCACCGCTCTATAAGGCACGTAGCGTAAGAAGAAGATCTCACGATAACTCGTGGATGGCAAAGCAGACAAACCTAAGCGAGTCCATCATCTGCGGCGTGGCGTACTCTGCGTAGAGCGTATTGAAGAGCGAGGCTTCGGTGTTCATCTCGGTCAGCAGTACCATCTTGTAGAAGTACACTATCGTGGCGAAGAGCATGGTCGCCGAGATGAGGAGCGACAGATTTCGAGCCCATCGTGCGCGAGGTTAGATTTCAAGTCACCAATAGTCACCTCTTGAAATCGCTGTGCTGAGCATCGCATTCTACAGGGCAACAAGGTCATTTCAGGCAATGTCTTGGTCAGTATTTTTCTGCATCACCACGAGTTCTTGACACTGTAGCAGCAGCTACTATCACGCTGTCCGCACTGTCAAGAATGATGAACTTCATGTCTTGAAGTTTATGATAAGGGGACGAACTTCAAGTTCATGTCATGCAGCGGACGAACTTTATAACAGAAACTGCATTGCGATCAAAAACGAAGGTTGCTGGAAGTATAAAATGACACATTTCCGAAGGATAAAATACATGCCAGCGAGTGAGTTATCACTTTGAGATCGAAAAAACCGGGAACGAAGGGACGCAGTGTCCCTGCCACTCGTTCGTACTGTAGGCGAATCGCTGGACTTGTTGTAGCCCGACACGAGACGAGGTTCATCAATTCGAGCATGTGGATTGAAGCTTTCACTGTGGCTAGCCTAGCCTATTGTTGCGTGGATGCAGTTCAGTGGATTTTGAGCTGCAGCAAAGGTGCTGCACTATTGTCCACCTACCGGCATGCTGTAGAGTCTACAGTGAAGACTGCAAACACTATAATATTCCGGTTGCTTGGGTGCACCTTCAAATGCATTGCTTACACGATGCGTATTCACAAAGCTCAAACCTGTTTGCAACTGGCTCCGACAACTACAGAGTTAACAATAATGACCAGAGTGCAGCAATAAAGACTTCGCCGAAGCCGATTGCGATTGATTCAACACTGCAGAATCTGCAGACTGCAACTTGCAGCTTGCAGTTGTTGCAAGTTCAACACGACGTGACGACTTCTGATCCAATTGTCGAGTTTAGCTCAGCGACTTGGCCAGGCTAAATTCAGTGATTGGCTAAATGCCGCATCAAAACCGCTCTTAGCACAGCCCTATTCGCCCTTGCGGGTCTGACGGCAGATGCACAGACGGCACACAGCAACCACTCGCCCAGCTCGGACTCGTACGCGCCTGCATCGCGTTCGCCCCATATGCAAGCCAGCGGAGAAGCCCAGCAGCAGTCCAAGCCCAGCAGCCTCCCGCCACAGCCACCTACAACTTCACCATCCGCCCCGCCCACTCCAGCCCCGCTCGTCCGCAAGAATAGCGCTGACGACCTGGTCGCCGAACTAGCGGCGTCGCCCCCTGTCCACACGCCGTCTGACGCGCGCCTATTATATCGCGAGTGGCGCACTGGATCGCACGTGGGTGCCGACCTTGCTCGCTTGGAAACTGGCGAACTCAGTAGCAGCCTCAGCAGTAACAACAGCATGAGCAGCGAGGACGTGCTCAGCCGCTCGCCGTTTGGCGTCTACGGCCGCTCGCCCAATGCGCTCCCACGCATTTCCGAGCGCCTCGAAAATCTACCTCTACGCGCCAATGCGTCACCACCCGCTCCCGTTGCTGCGCATGACGCGGACGCGCGCGCGCGTCTCCTTTCTCAGAAGATTGCCGCCATGGACGCGGCCCAACCTGGAGCTGCGGCGATGGTAAAATCCCAGTCCGGATCTTACGGCTCTGTCGAGTCTAGCGAACCAATTGCCGGTATTAAGAAGGCGCAGAGTTATCAGGCGCTGGCCGAGCTGGAGAAGAAAGGATACTTCCCCGTAGCTCCCAAGCCGTCGGCACTGGGCGTACAACGAGGACTTAAGGACTCGGTGGTCAACGACATGTGCCGCGCTGTTGTCAAACACATGGTGGGTGACGTGTACGTGTCAGCGTCCGGCTCCTACGGCCAGCGCAAGGTACTGAACCACCTGTACGAGCCCGTGTTCGCCTCGGTTCAAGCTCACTTCCGTCGTCTGCCTGCAAGATACGCGCTGTCGGTGAATCCGGATGACGTGCCCATGCACATGCGTTTGCTTGCGCAGAATCAGCGCGACCCGACGGCTATCGCTGTCAATGCTCAGCTGAAAAAAGACGACAACGGAGAGTACGTTTGCTACATGTAGTTTTGTGTATTACGGCTATTCTACGAGAGAGTTAACGTGTGTGCGTGTTATCGACAGGATCGTGCCTAATGTATGCGAAGTGGTGGTGGTGTCATTGGACCGAGAAAACATCCTGGATGCCATTACACGCGCGCTGACCACGATGAAGGGCAATATTCTGGACGCTGACGTCATGACGACGGCGGACGGCACTCTACTGGATCGCTTTGTAGTCAAGGGATCATTTATGAGCGAGGAACGACAGGAAGAGCTGCGAACGAACATCGAACAGAATCTCCTCAGACTTAGTATGGACGAAGAGCCGCGTCCAAGCGCCACCAGCTCGCAGGGCTCAGGGTTCAACGAGAGCGTCAGTCTCGCGGAGAAACTGGGTGTGTTACAAATGGTGGACAAGAACGAGATCAAGGCGGAATGGAAATTGGATCTCAACGAGGTGCGGCTGGAGAAGGCGGTGGGCAGCGGGCGGTCTGGAAGTACGTACAGTGCCTGGTGGCGAGGTACGCATGTGGCCGCCAAGGTCGTCGACTCATCCGCAAACACTCAGGCCGTCGGTGAGGAGTTGCTGAACGAATTCCATCGCGAGGTGGCAGTTGTCAGCAAACTACGCCATCCGAACATTGTCTTGTTCCTCGGAGCGGCCATCAACCCGCCCCGTTACTGCTTAGGTACGTCCTGCTACTGTGTGTAGGAGGTGTATTAATTGCGCTGGTCTCTGACTGGCTGTACGTTCTTGTTTGCAGTATTTGAATTTATGGAGAATGGCACGTTGACGGATCTGATCCGTGCACGTCGAGCGCCCATTGATTTCTTTCGTCTCGTAGCAGAGATGGCGATGGTACGTTGGATACCGACACCCTCACTTTAATCGGCTACGAGGTTCTAATGCGTTAGTGACTTGTAGGGAATGAACTACCTTCACTTGTGCTCTATTATGCATCGAGACCTCAAGTCTGGTAACGTCCTCATCGATTCGCACGGCACTGCCAAGATTTCCGACTTTGGTCTTAGTTGTGTGCTCGAGATCGGCAGCTCCTCCGACCTCACGGCTGAAACAGGAACGTACAGGTGGATGGCACCCGAAGTCATCCGTCACGAGCCCTACTCTAGCAAAGCAGACGTCTACAGCTTCGGCATTGTGTTATGGGAGCTGCTGGCAAGAGACCAGCCTTTCCGTGGTTTGACGCCAATTCAAGGTACGCGCGCCGTTCTGTGAATATGAAATAAAGACGTTTTCTAACCGGCATCCCTTGTATCTGTCACTACAGCCGCTTTCGCTGTTGCTCGCCAGCAAATGCGTCCTGCGCTGCCTCGCCAGACGCCACAGAAGATTGGGGAGCTGATTGAGCACTGCTGGCATCACGACCCAGCTCGTCGTCCCGACTTTGGGGCCATCCTGGAGGCTCTGCCGTTGGTGAAGAAGTCGCTGAAAAAACGCGACTTTAAGAATATGGGGATACTGTATGTTGCCCCATAAAACGATCTAGACGGAGCAAGTTCTCCTCGTAGTTTTTTTTATCCCTCTAATGGTAAACTAGAAAAGTATTAGCTCGACCTCGTCGTTATGCCAACGAGTGTGTTGGTTCTTCAAATACCTCAACTTGTTAGCTATTTTGTGCTGTTGTGGCGTCCGTTTCGATGTCATGCCACAGTTCTATTGACGAAGCAATGGGCTGCTGTACTGCGTGCTGTGGTTGTGCTGTCCTGACGCAGCTTGTTGCGGTCGGGTGTTTACTTGCAGTCATTCCGACAGCGTACCTCTCGTACGACTATTATCTTAAGCCATGGGCCGAGGATCACTATGACGAAGCTGTGCAGAACATGGCTTCACGTGCCGCTAGTGCAGCCAACGATATCGACACTTCTGGACTCTCTTGTGGTGATTGCTTGGGCGTCAACTTGGATTACCCGATCTCGGGACTCAACACAGACTACTCATCTTTTCAAATCTCTGTCATGAATGACGCCGGCAAATATCTTTCTGCTGTGACGTCATCGGGTGTTGCTATTGCAGGAATCGCAAGCTTCGCTTCTGCCATAGTTGGGATGTTGGCATCGGCTAGTGCAATGCCTTCCACGAACGGTGGCCTCTTCGAGCTGTTGCAGATGATTGCTCAGGGCCAGTTCATCACGTTGCTGGGATGGTAGAATTTTAACGGGGTCGTATACAGGTCAGGCCTGATTATTGGGTCAGGTTCCATTTCCAACAGGATCCTCCTACATAAGAAGAAGAATCGAGCAGTGAAGAAGATGACGAGGCTGTAGATGTCGACAGTGATGATGACAACGAGGGCGTCTCTGGTACTAGCAGCGAAGAGGACGCTGCTGCTACGAATTTGGGCGCAGATGTGATCAGCAATGACAGTGATGCCGATGAATGCGACACTGAAGCCGACCAACCTCGTGCCGCGCAGACCATCGTGGTCTAAGCATTTTAACCCAACTGCTTAGCTTCATATCTTTCACTTCAATATGTAGCTTAGCAATTGGTCCTGTGTTTGGTAGGGCCGTCAGGAAACCCGCCTGACCCAATTATCAGGCCCTACCCGTAAACGACCCCAAAAATAGCTAACCGCTGGGATCAATGAACCTTGAAGGGGTACCGCAGTTCTTCATCGAATTCTGCACCAAATTTGCGTGGACGAACCTGCATGTTTTCCCTACAAAGACGAAAGCAACTGGTAACGTGACAACGAGGCACCGTCAGTTGTCGAGTGGCGGGACGGATTTGAGCTTGAACGGCGTGACACGCTATGCCCAGACTCTGGGTGTCGAACCGGACAACCTTTTTTACTACACTCTTCTGGCTCTGTTGGTGGTGTGTGGGTTGGTGATACTCCTCTACACTATCGCTCGAATAGCACTCTACCTGTTTAAGAAAGAGGATAGACCGCTGGTACAGATGCTAAACAACCGGGTCGTCTGGGTGAGCATTCAGCTATTGCTGCTGCTTCAGTACTCGTTAGCTATGATATCGTGCTTTCAGATTTCGTTTTCTGTTCGAACCAGTCAATCGACTGGCGGGTTGATCTTGGCAGCGATCATCCTCGTGACATCCTGCTTAGGTTTTGCATTGTTTGGCGTTTTCATCCTCTCACGCTACAAACACGAGCTCGCTGACCACGGAACGGAGGGACATGAGAAGAAACCATTTAACCACCGCTATGGGTGTTTTTACCAGGATTTCACGAAAGAGAATCGTTTCTTCTTCCTGGCGAAGATGACATTGGATGTCGCGTCGGGCGCTGTGGTGGGTGCAGGGAACAGACCTATGGTGCAGCTTGGCCTGCTCGTAGCTTTTAATGCCGTGTTCGTCATCTCAATGGCTTTCCGACGCCCTTACTTGCTGCGAGTATTCTACGTGATCGGCTTGCTTACCTCGTACTTGCGTATTGTCATGCTCATGCCAGTACGCTTTTACTCACGCTCGTTTTGGTCTCATCTGAGTTGGTGCCACAGCGGATCCGCGATTTGATCTCGCAGATCATCATTTGTGTTAATGCTCTCGTGTTGCTGTGTCTCTTCGCGCGGGCGGGTTATACGGCGGTGAAAGCGCTGACAAAGTGGCTCCAGAACCGCAAGCCTGGTGTCAACGAACTTGACGACGTCGATGAGTTGCTCCCAAATGAGAACGCTGTCGGCACGAATGAACATCGCCGTGTATCCTTGCAACACCAGCCGCAATCACCGCCCGCAGATGGCACGCCGCCGAGCGCGCAGGCGTATCACCAGACAACCGACAAGTTCGCCTCCGGTCATTGGGAGGTTGCGAGTCGCAGCGATCGGCACGTCGTATAAGCGTGAAGTGGAAAGACCGAAGCCAACACTAGGTAAGGTCAAGAAGCAGAGACCACAAAATAGTGATAGTGCATGCACAGACCGGGTTAACCCTTCCAGTAATAACTTACACGACAATTGAGACTCTCCATGAATCATGATGGCATCAAATGTTCAAGTGTTCAAATCTTGTTCGCGCTTGGCTACACGTGATGGCCTACCTCTGGAACTCATCATGGGATTTGAGTGTTTCACCTCGCCACCGTGGCGGCCACGCGACTCGCGAAAACTGGCTGTCGCTGGAGCGTAGTCGACAACACACTTCGTCACAATCGATCAAGCGCCATGGCTGGCAGGCTCCTGTCTCCATACCCACCCCTGGTGATGGCAGACAGTGAGCGCGACAGACTTGAGTTTCTCGCGCACCGCCTCATCCACAAGGCCCTCGAAGAGTACGACGCCCATCGACAAAATGGCTCCAAAGTGGATGCCGAGAGCTGGAAAGTCGCCCGCAAAAGCGATCAACTCACCATGTACAAGCGAGCGGATCCCGGTGCATTGTACCAATCACCAGAGGCGCGTCAACCGGCCACAGCAATTCGGTCACAGGCGGAGAGCGTTAGTATCATTGAAAACTCAATCACACAAGGACGTCCTCGCCAGAAAATGCCGATACTACTGCAAGTGGGGGCGATTCAAGGCTCGCTTAATTAGGTTATGTATGGCACTATCGCAGTGGACGGTCAGGCGATGATGCTCAAGACGGCGTACACAGACGACACGTTGCTGGACGGTGAAACACTGTGTCAATTACGTGGACCTTCAGCTACTCATCCGTTCCGGTTTCTAGGCGTAAAATGGATTGTTAAAGGTACTCCACATGCACCTTTGGTACGACCACGCGACTCGGTTTTCCTTGAAGGCATAGGGATATTAACACGCGAGGATAAGAACGAACGTGTAGGGTACCACCTAATGCATTCCGTTAGTATCCCCGGATACGGCCCTCTGGAAGACCGCAAGATCGTTCGTGGACAGATATCGTCGTGTATCTTGTATACGGAATCACCAGATTCTCCTGGTGTGGACGTGTTCATGAAGGCGCGCTTTGACCCCAACGGCAACGTGTCGGAGAGCGTTGCAACGCAATCAGCAGCTCTCGCCCTTATGTATGGAGCCAAAATCGGCGTCTGTGCTCAGAACAAGAAACTTTCGTGGCTACTACGCTCTAGTCCGGACTCGCCCGTCCATCGACCTTCGAGATCGATGAGTCTAACTCGACAACGTAGCTGTCCAATCTGCGCCAAAAGTTTCAGCATGTTCAGTGGTACGGTCGAATGTGAAATGTGCTCAACCGTCGTTTGCTCCGGGTGTTCAGCGAAGAAGAAGCTGGGCTTTGCCCGATCTGGCAGCAAGCAGGTGGTGCTACGCCCCGTCGCCTTTTGCACTAGTTGCCTCACACACGCTCGTCGGTTGAATGTCTTTGACGCAGCTCGACAAGAAGTGCTGGCGGGCTTTGACGAAACAAACGCGTCAATATGCACCACCGCCGTATCCAAAGAGTCTACTAGTAACGTTCGACCAGATTTGCTCGGGAACGTGCACAATTGTCGTCGACGTGACTTGCAAGGACCGAAGAAAGCGCCGGCAATATCGAAAAGCCTACCGCCAGATATTACTAGACATTGTAGTGAAAGTGTCTTGACGAAGAAAGATGATCAGCCCCGTCGTCCGCGTGTGAATACGTGGGGAAACGGTGATGTGGAGTCTCCAACCGCGACGAACCGTTGGGTTCGCCTTGAGCGCGAGATGGCCAAGTCCACGCAGATCAACGAGGTGGACGAGTTTGGAGAGATCACAATTCTCGAAAGCTCACTAATTAAAGTAGACGACCCTCGTGACCAGCGTAGCTGTTCGTATCCGACAGCTAGCCCAGCTGCCCCCACGCGAGCATCTGCACAAGAAGATTTCATGGCTCGCATCATCGCCATGCGCAACGCAGCAGAAGATGCGTACCGGACTACACGCAAGACTGCGCAGGAGTTCGAGCTGCTCTCCAAAGCTCACAAACGTTTCAGTCACGACCAGGAAACTCTCGCTATCCGGTAATGAATCGACATTGGTGCTGACAGGCAGACTTGAACAATTGATTGTACCGTCGTACCGCCGCTTCAGAGTTAACTGCGCCCTTAGCGAAAGGTTTTTCGTAGAACTCTGAAGTAGTCAGAAGAGGAAACGGAGATTGATGAAATGCTGAATACAGTCGACTATGAACTACTTACGTTGACTATAAAACTGGAAGGGATCCGCAAGGACGGACTGAGTTGCTCTTGACTGCTGACAGCCGCAGCCATGTGGCGTGCGTACTTGACCAACGTTGTACAAGCTGCGCCATGTAGGACGTTAAGGAGCCCTTTGATTCCGCTCAGAAACGAATTCACCCTGAGGGTATCAGCTTAAGGACTCGACTTGCATCATGAGCTGGCTGCAGACACACGAGGTGGCTATTCCGTTCTACGAGATACGCGCAGGCAAGCAGGTTTTTGCCATTCAAGTGCAGGAACGACCTCTTCGACAAGAGCAACTGGCGAGCAACTGGTCTAACATAACGAGCTCAAGCTCGCAATGTTTGCTGGACGAAGACGGTGAGAACAGCAGTGTGACTGGCAATACCTCTGGGGTTTGCGTCGCAGCGATGCGGTCGTATTCTCAATTCCGCAAGCTTTGGCGAGACCTGATCCGCGCTACGAAGACCCCATCGACTGCGTCCTTATCGCGCTCCAACAGTGCCGATCTGGCCCGCAGTGGACATTCGTCGAACTGCCGGCTGGCGAATTCCTTTCACTCTTTGTCCATTGATGGCGAGTCCTCGTCTTCCTGTCGATGTCGCAACTGGAACTGCACATTCCGCAATCTCCACTACTTTCTCAAGACTTATCCGTTCCCGTCAAAGCTCCTGATCAAGCGTCATACCGCCTCTGTGCTGGATACCCGTCGTCAAGGCCTAGAGCTCTTTATCACGACTGTACGAGGACTCTTCGATACTTTCCCTCGCCCGTTTCTTCAAAGTATTGACGAGTTGGGTACCTGTCAAGTGATGAAGGCTCTGAACGCATTCTTTGATATCAACGCGGAACACCACGTCAACTTGCTCCCTCAAAGTTTGAGTCAAAGAACGCTGAAGATTCCACCATTGAAATGTGCTGAACGTGGTCGATGCAGATCGGTTAGCGACAATACCACGTGCTTCAGCAGCAGCACTGTGAGTGGCAGGAGCATACGGAGCAGCAACAACGCGCACGCGGAAGAAGACCCTCTCTGTAACTCTGGGGTCGACTATTATCTCCGCGAGGACGATTTAATTCCCAACACCCAGAAAACCAGCAACCCAGATTTCGAACCGCAAGAACAACTCAAAGTGAATGAAAAGGTTGATCAGACCTTGGACAAGTGTCCGACTTCTCCTCATCAAGCCGGGAACTCTCCGAAGAACTCAACGGGTCGCAGATCTCGATACTATCGAGGCATGAGTATCAGAAGCCACACTGCTTTCCTGGCTCGCAATCCGACCATGCCGTATCGTAGGGGTTCCGCTACATCCATGGTGGTGACCCCGCAGACGTTACTGCCAGGTCTTCCGAAACTGAAGCTACCTAACGCGGAAGTATCTTCGATCCGCTCGTTCCTTGAGGAGTTCCGGGATCATCTGCTATTAGACTCACAAGCTCTTGGAAACTCATCAACACCCATCGAATGGAACGAGGATCGACAGTGGGAGCTGGCGTTGTATGTGGCGAGTCAAATCGGTCACGCTTATGCGGTCGAGTCGATTTTGTACCGTGGCACGAGTCCGAATGTAGTGATGGAGGATGGGCTGTCGAGTTTGCATGCAGCCTGTCGTGGTGGTCACCGGAGTATTGTTGCCATGCTGCTAACTCACGGAGCTGACACAAACATCACGGACCCCAACGGCGTATCACCTTTGCTAGCTGCCGTACAACTGGGAGACCTTGAGATCGTGGAGATGCTTGTGGAATATGGCGCAGACGTTAATTTGTGCAACAAGGACAATGTGTCTGCGGTGCACGTGGCGGTTGCTAGTCAAACGTTTCCTGTTCTTCAGCTGCTACTCGAGTGCGACGCCTTTGTCAACACTACAAACACTTTCAATGGCAAAACACCTCTGCATCTTGCAGCTCAGACCGGTAGTCTACCGACGTGTAAGCTGCTGCTGAACTACGGAGCTAACATCCACCACAAGACGACAAGAGGACTGGATGTTGTGGCGCTTGCGAAGACGCATGGTCACGAGAATATTGCAAGGTTCTGCCTCCTTTCTTACAGCAACCAGAAGCACGAACAGGCGCAAGCAACGCATACCGCTGATGAAGTTCAGTTCGTCTGTGAAGATGGATACGCATACGCCGTCTTGTAAATCTTGTAAAAAGCCTCAATGGAAAGGCTCAGTACATGAATGTCAAAAGTACTTGATAAAGAAAAGTTTTGATTTGACAAATAACTATTTTTTTCTTCAGTTTCAAAACTTATTTTCTTATTTTTAAATAGCTAGAGACCGTTTTGCAGCAATATGAGCAAGATGGATAGGAGAAGGAGTGCCAACACCAACGGAGGTCATGGCGGAGGAGCAACAGCGTCCATCAACAGCGAGTGCTGGGACTCGGTGTCGTATCTAGAAAGTGCTTTTCATCATGGATTTATGCGGCTGCGACTCAGAACGGGCGAGTTCGTGTACAATGAAGATTCACGACTCACACGCGAGTTGGACGAATTCTGCGATGTGGATTCGATGCACACACCCAAAGGTCCAGTTATTCTATTAGGCGAGAGTGGCATGGGGAAGAGCGCGTTCCTGGCCAATTGGCTGGTGCGTCGAAAGAAAATGTTTCAGAATTGGCAATCTTCATATCCCGAATTTATTTTCTCTCACGTCGTGGGTTGCTCACGGCAATCGTGTTCCGTATCGAATTTACTTGAGCGTATTCTTCGAGAGATTAAGGAATATTTCGAGCTGAACAAAGAGATTCCGGACGTGGAGGAGCGACTGAGCTGGCAGTTCCCTCGCTTTCTAGAAGCAGCATCGAAGAAAGGGCGCGTCATTCTCGTAGTCGACGGACTGCATCGACTTCACACCAACAATGGGGAGAGCATTTTGAAGTGGGTTCCTCTAGCTTTCCCTCCAAACGTTCGTATCATTTTCTCGGGGACACTTAATTACCCGACTTCGAAGTTGTCCCACGTTCTTAACGTCGGCACACTTACCGTACCTCGTGATGATGACGAATGTGTTGTAGGAGGTGATTACTACGAAAAGACGAGTCTCAGTGCGCAGATGATTGAGCGAATAAAAATGGAGGCGGGTCGTCGCAATTGGAAGCTCATTCATGTGCTCCCTCTAGCTGAAGAGGATCGAAGACGGATAGTGAAGAGGTTTATCTCTAAGAGTCGCGATATTAGCTATCGCGATAACAGTGGCTCGCTACAAAGAGCAGGTTTACAACTCTTCGAGATCCAGCAAAACGCCATTGTCGGGGTACCCATGAGCTCTAGTCCGCACTTTTTAAAGAACTTTCTGACCTGTTTACTGTGGGCTGTGAAGGAGGGGTTCAATATTCACACGGTATTCGAAAGCTGGTTAGGTGCAGACAGTGTGGCTCAGTTGCTGGAATCTGTGCTTCGTAGCATGGAGATTGGCTATACACCGGACCAAAGCTCGACTGATGACGCGATGCAATTCCTGTTAGAGTTTGACGGCGAAGATACTGCTGTCAATACTGCAAGCTCTGTATCCAGCCGTAAATCGTCGATTATTAGTCGAGACTCTGGAAGGAGAAATTCTCAACACCAGAGTGATAACCGGACAAAGATTGAGCTTGCACGTGCTGCTGCAGAGGCCGCCGTTCGGGAGGCTAGTGACTCTCTTGATGACGATCCTTTGAATCCAGAAATGAAACGCGTCAAAAGTGTTCATGAAACCAAAGAAGTGTTGGTCAACATGGTACGCAACGAGAGGTCGAGCTCTGCATCTTCGACAACACAAAGAGGAACAACACTGTCAAAGGAACCGCCTTCACCTGGAAAGGGGTCACCTACAAATGCTCTGCTTGAAGCTGCAGAGCACAGATTAAAGCGTTTTCCCACGGAGCCTCGAGCTGGGGCTAATAAACTGGGCAGCCGACTCGATTATCTGACGGGTGGACGAAGAGTTGCCCCGCTTGGAGATGTTTTGGGTCGAGCGTTGTGTCTCTTGTACGTGAGTCGTCATGGATTATTGCTAAACGAGCTGCGATTCATCTTGAACGCCGTTGTAACTGAGGTGCGTGGTGTAAAACGCCCTCGAAAAGATGACGCAGCCACTGGATTCGGCCACAGAGCTAGCATAGGACAGGAAAAACTAACCGCGTTCTCTGAAGACGAATGGCAAGTTCTCTTGCGAGCATTGCGCACACTGGGTGTGCTTTTCGTACAGGAGGTTCTGGTGTTACCGATGTGCAAGGATATCTTGCGCGACGTCATTTGGTGGCGGTATATCGGCAGTGAACGCGCTGAGCAACAGTATCACCAGTGGCTCATTCGTTTCTTTCGTATCCATCCCACCACTTTTCGTCGTGTTGAAGAGCTTCCGTGGCACCTTAAACGCTGCTATCAGTGGGATGCTTTACGTCAGGTATTGGTCAACTTACCCATGTTCCAGTTACTGTACACAGCCAGCTACAAGGGCGAGCTTTTCGGGTACTGGAAGGTGCTCACCGATGGTCCATTGCTCAATTACGGTGCAGCTACCAATGCATCCGACCCACCAGTGTATGTGACGCCCTTCGACGTCGTCAAAGAGTACGGGAAGAGTATTGATGACTGGTATCGTAGTGCTCGCCCCACGACGAAAAGGTTCACGGCTATTGTGCAGCAAATCACGCGCTTCATGTACGAGTTTTGCCTCTCGTATCAGCGGCCATTGCCCCAATTCATGCACGCCCCGTTCGACCTTAAGCGACTTTACTTGGATGGATTCTTGTTTGCTGAGAACTTGCCACATGTACAAACAGTTGCCAGTGCAACTGGAGGTGCTGCATCTGCCTTGCCATCCACAGGAGCTTCGAGCTTCGGTGGGATGTCTGCAATGACAAATACACCCACTGCGTCATCTGCACTACTTACTGCGTTGGACAATTTCCCACCGCAAGTAAACACTTTGAGTGTGGGGACGGCAGGGTCGTCTACTAGAGACAAGGACGCGTTTAAGAACTGTTTCTTTTTCTATCAGCGGTGGATCTGGATACAGTTTCCGTGGCTCGCACTTGGTCGTGACATTATTGTTCGAGATCCAGTTGTACAGAACCCAATTCTGGAAAAGGCAAATGGCGCCAATGTCAGCGATAATAGTCCCGGGTTGACTGCAACGACAGTGCAACCCTCTTCATCAAACGCTTTGATCCCACTGAACTCAGCTCGTGGACACTCTGGGGATGCGATTGACGAAGAAGTCAGACGACGCGACAGTGAAGGAGTTGCAGCGAAGACGACGGCAATGACCCCATCGCAGTCAATAACGCGATCTGGATTATTTGATGCACGGTTTTGGGATGTCAAAAAGAGTATGTTTGACCCAACCACTCGTCGGCCTCGAGGTGCAATGACAATTTCGCAACTCGCTTCAGTGAAGAACGCAAGTGTCTTGATGACGTCAACACCAACATCATTTGCCAACCAGACTTTGGGTGTGATATCTCCCGAAAATCTTTTCCGCAAGAAAAGCGCATACACAACAGTGAAAAGTGTTCTACGATCATCTGTTAGCCGTCTTCCCAGTGCAACTTTGAAATCTTCGGCTTCGTTGCCAACGCTTCCCGAACAACGGCAACTTGCACAAAATGCGACTGCAACCTCGAATAACCGCATAGAGAATACAGGCCAGAGTGATCCAGAGTCACCATGCGCAGTGTCACCCATTCCGCTTGTTGGTCCCAATGGAAAGCCAAATCTGCCATCAAAAGAGTTCAAACTGGAAAGCATTTCTAGCACAGAGGACTTGATGACAATTGCCACTTCTTTTGGTCTTCCAGCACATTTCCAGGACTATCCGCAGTCCGAATGGGACTTAAAACAGTCGTACAACCATCGTGTGGTGCTCAAACTGCAGGCATTGTACGATACCGTAAAAGCTGAAGTTGCGCAAAAGCAAAAGTATCTGCAAGATGTCAAACGGAAAACCCGCGAAACGTCACGCCGCTACGAATTGACAATGCGCGAGTGTGACATGGCAAAACACGCAGCCGAAGAGATGAGTTCTCGCCTTGCAAAACTGGAACAGGTGATGAAAAACATCGACCAGCAGGAGAAAACGCATCGCAAGCTCATTCGCGGATGCGAGTTGTTTCCCGCTTGTGCCCCCGCACATTTTGAAGCCAATAAGAAAGAGTTGCGTCTGTTGCAGATGCAACTCAAGGACTTGCAAGATGAGAAAAAGGTGCTGTATACGAAGAAGACCCATTTGCAGAATGAAGAACTACCCATTCTGCGCAAAGCTGTGGAAAAGAGTAAGCAATTGCTCTCTGCAGTAGTGGACAAACTGGAGCGTGCACGCGAGAAAGTTGCGCACGATCAGGCTTCGTCCGTCAAGTTGTATCAGCGACGACTGGAGATGATTGAAAGTGTGCGCTCAGCGAGTGGCAAAGGCGCCAGCGCCACAACAGAGGAAGAAGCGCGAAGACAAGCTCGACAATCATTCAGCGCCACAACAAGGTCACTTGCTACCAAAGTTGCATTGCAGCAGTGTGAGTCCATGTGCGACAAGATTCAGAAAGCCACCGGGTTTTCCAAAATGGAGCTCATTTTCCAGAAATTTTCACGTCGTGAGGAACTCAACGCGAGTTTTGAGGAGCAAGCCAAACTCTATGAGGCTCGTCTGAAACAAATCAAACTGAACCAGGCGGAGTTGGAGGAGCAGCTGCACTCTCTCGAGCTATCGCAGGCTACGGCTACAACGGAAGATCCACGGATCCTAGAACAGAAACTACGCGCTGCCGAAGTAGAACTCGCACGTACAGAGTACACCCAGGCGAGTCTCCTCACCAGCTCCAAAGAGGTGATAACCGGGGCCGCGAGAATTGTAAAACTTATGGGCATCACGAACTGCAACGACCCATACCAAAATGCTATACCGGCCTCTCGACTATGGCCACCACCCGTAGGTTACGAAGGCGAGAGGAGCCTCACGTCTGAGTTTGAAACACTGGAATCTCCTGCCATCACTGTACTTTTACAGCTTTGCCAAGATCGAGCGACGTTGATGATGGATGCGGTTCGTTCACGAAGCTTGCGGTGTTTCCCTAAGTTCGACGCTGACGAATTGTATGCTTTGCGTGTAGATTGAGGGCGCAAGAAGCGATCCGGACGTCAATTTCTCGCTGGTAAGGCTGCAAGAGCACGAACATTTGTGTGTTGGTCTGGTCTTGACACTTTCTGTTGCTGGGGGACTTGCAGATCTCAGAGTCGACGTCACGACCTCGGCGTCGGACTGTGCGTGGAGGTGACGAGAAGAACACTACACGGTCCAGTCGCTACCGTCGCCCACTGCAGCTCAGTAGTGTGGCGGAAAAGAGCAAAGAAAAGGAGAAAGATAAGGACCGAGCGGGCTTCGACCGTGGTGCCGTGCCGCCAGTTGCTGCGGCTGCCGGTGCTGTCATGGCCACGATGTCGACACAACCCAGTACACCGGAGCTGGGGGAGGGTGACCAGGAGCCAGGAGAAGATATGGAGGTGCTATCAAGAGAGACAATCAAAGCCTCCAGCAGGAACAAACTGGCACAGCGGAAGCGAGGCAACATGTAAATGTATTATAAAATGGACTTAAGAACAGCGATTGTTAAGTGGGGGGTTTTCATTTCCTTGGAACTGCAGTACATCACATTCTCCTGTGCTGATTTTTTTTTATTTCCAGTATCTACATCCTCTAACTTCTTCTCTCTTTGAACGCGAAGCCTGGCCTTCTCAACCCGTTCAGCAGCACTCACTTTTTTTTTAAATCGCGCTCGCTCTTGAGCAAGCTCCTCGGCGACCTTATCAACGACGTCAGAAAAAGTCTGCATCCGTTCTTGAGCGATCTCCTCTGCGATTTTATCTGAAATCGAAAGTACATGTTTCTCCTCTTCGCTGCTGTCACTGTCCACGTTGTCAGAATCATCCAAGTCCTCCTCGTCCTCGTCCACGATGCCATAATCGTCGAGGTCTTCATCAACAGCCAGCAATTCGGGCCCATGCCCTTCAGCGTGATAACGCATTCGTATTTTCGCGTCTGAGAAATCATTTCTCAAAGCATGCTTAGCACATACTTGTCTTTTGGAAATCCACAAATTATGAACCCCAGCATGAGGTCTGTAGCGTGCATTGTATGTTGTCAGCATAGATTTAACTACATTTGCTTTATGGTATCCGTGACTTGTCCCCAAGGATCTGACCCACCTGAAATTATTTACTACTCACGATGTGTAGCCAAATTTCCAAGCGTAGCTCCCTTCCCAATCACGGATCTTGGCAAGTGGAATCTCAACCCATTTGCCAAGCTCGGTGAATTCTAGAGTGTTGTTCTGACTCGCGCCCTTAGTGAGAGGGCCAAGTCGCAACAGGTACAGCCCAAACTTGTTCAGATCTACTGTGCGATCCTCGCCTCGATGTAGACGTAGCAACGCCCTCAGCCTGAACGCGAAGATCCGATCTTCACTCTCTTCATTGATGACTTCCTTCTTCTTCTTTTCAGTCTTGTTCTTCTTTGCTTTTTTCCTGCTTCTGTCCGTGACTTGTCATTTTCCCTTTGTCCGGGTCTCGTCGTCGGGACAACACAGCGCTTGTTGTTGCGGAGCCTGGTAGGTTTCAACTAGCTCTTGGAGTTTCTGTACGTTCAGCACGCTAATCTCACCATGATGGTTGCGAGCCGAAGCTTCAGCCATTGCAAACTCGTTGCCGAACTGGCAGTTGTAAATGGCGATGGGAGGACCGATCCGAAATACTCCCTGAAATTGAGCGGGGCTACTGACAGTGTACCAGTAGATGACAGCGTAACTATTGTCCTTCTCAACCATGTATGACATTGCAAGAATCTATTCTAAGCCACTATGTCGTCGATATTGCTCTGGTGTCGCGACGTCGTTCGCCACCACCGCAGGATCCTCCCGCAGCGGGTTAGGAATCACCCCCCGCATCATTAGCCCCGCAACAACCTTGGTGACCATGATCCGAATAGCAAAAACAGAGAATAAGGAGTCAACACCAAATGGGCATGCCACCAACCACGCAACCATCCACACTGCGTGGTACAAACAATTGCCGTTGCCTGGGACGTTGACAAAGCTGTACTTAAAGTCTGGAGGGACGGAAGCACACCCTTCTCCAATGCGTCGTGAGCCACTTCGTTCTCTTTATCGGCTTTCATCAGTTCCCCCTAAGCAGTCGCACTAGTATACAACGCCCAGTCTCCACGTTCAGCCTGTAATCCAATAATCCTGCCTCCATTTTCCTGAAAGGCCCCGTGAATTGCCATTGGAGAGCCCGAGCTGAGTGATGGTCGCTCCTCGGCTACGCCGAGTGGTGACCATTGTGATGAAGGAAGTAGTCGTAACAACAGTAAGTTGCAGGGACTGAAAGTCCAGCAGGGGAGAAAACCGAGTGCTGCTGCTTGCTCTTGACGGCGCAAGTTGTCGAGTGTGTAGCAGCACACGGAAAAACCCCGGTAACATATATTGGTAGGATTAGCAGTAGGATGGGCTGGTGGCTCGCCAGCCAATGGTCCGTCGAAGTCCGGCTTCTGGACGCGAGCATCGCGTCCTGGAGGCACCTGAGCCTCAGGTTTGAGCTGGACGCAGTCCTGGCTCTTCCTCCACACTTTACACTCCCACTTGATCTAGTCGAAGCGCAGCTTCAACATGATCACCTTGTAGAGCTCACCACGATGTCCTTGGCATCTTCTAGCTGCGCTGCAGCCCGACGCTTCGTCCTTGGTAGCGCTCTTCCTCCTTCTTGTCCTTCGTATGCATGAACTGGTAGTAGTAGCTTGCATTCACGCATGGCGATGATGTTTGGCTCCAACTGAACGAGCTGAGCCTTGCTGACGGTCGATGCGCAGCACCTTCATCCCATCACGGCAATGTTCGAACTTGTCCTTCGGCAATGGCTTCGTCATCGCGTCGGCGATCATGTCGTCGGTGCCAACATGGCGAATCCGTAGCTGCTCGTCCTCCACGAGGTGGCGCACCAAGTGGAACTTGTTCATAATGTGCTTGTTCTTGCTGTGCTTGCCAGGCTTGGCAGTCAGATAGATGCACGACTTGTTATCGCCGATAATCTCCGGAGTCGCGAACTCCCAGCATAGGTCTTCACAGAGTCCACGTAGCCACTGTAGATCTCTAATGCCTTCATTCATGGCAATATACTCTGCTTCCGTTGTGCTCTCGGGCGCTTAAATCTCTTGCTTTCTTGATTCGTAAGAAACCACGTTACCATTGAACGCAACGTTCACGCAACCGCTAACACCTCTTTCGCGTTCCATCAGGGTTCACATAGACCGTTAGATCCGCCATCTGCGTGTTAAACACGCTCCAGCCTGGACGCTTGTTTCCCCAATTAACATGTCCCATCACTAAGCCGTGGTCTTGAGTACCACTCAGGTAGCGTAGCACCCTCTTTCCCATAGCGTAGTGTGTGTGGTCAAAGCAGGACAGGTACTTGCTGAGATTACGCACAGCGTGCGCAATGTCCGGCCTTGAGGCTGAGACCAGATATTGTAGTGCACCAACGAGCTCTCGGTACGGGGGCGGGGAGTCATCTTTCGCATTTGTGACCACCTCAGCGCGCAGCGCTTCCGGTGTTGCAACCGCGTTGCAACCCTCCATGTGAAATCGCTTTAGCACCTCCGTAATATGTTGCCGCTAACAAAATACCGCATGTCGACGCTCGCTGTCGATCAGTATCTCCACGCCTAGTAGATACTTGACTGGTCCGAGAGATGTGAGTTCATACTCCTCACTGAGTTGCTTAGCAACCTTAGCGCAAAGGTCACTAGGGCCGAGGAGCAGTAGGTCGTCGACGTACACCGTGAGCAACATGGTGACTTCTCCTCCCACTTTCCTGGCGTAGAGTCCGTAGCCAGAGTCGGGGCGCTCGAGTCCGATCTTCGTCAGGAGCTTGTGCAATGTCTTGTTCCAAACGCGAGGCGCTTGCTTTAGCCCATACAAACTCTTCTGTAGCTTGCATACGTAGCGCGTAGAGTCTTCTCCGAAGCCTGGAGGCTGCTCCATGTAGACCTCCTCGTCGAGATCACCGTACAAGAACGCGGTTTTGACGTCGAACTGCAAGATGGCCCATCCGCGTTGCAGCGCGTATACGATCACGCATCTGATCGTCTCAAATCTGATAACAGGTGCGTATGTTTCACTGTAGTCGATACCCATGCGTTGTAGAAAGCCTCTGATCACTAGTCGAGCTTTATATCGCTTAATCCGGCCCGTAGAGTCTCTCTTGAGCGCGTACACCCACTTGCACGAAATGACACGCTTGCCCTTGGCCTCCGTGCGTCGCACGAGCACCCAAGTTTCGTGCTGCTGCTGTGAGTCCATCTCAACTTGCATCGCTGCTTTCCACTCCTTCCACTTCTTTGACCTTGCCGCATGCTTGTGACTAATGGGGGTCTGCACATCCTCGACGTTCTGCTTCGTCACATTCGTCACTACGTAGTCCTTGAGTCGGGCGGATGGTTGTCGCTTCCGCTTCGGTCGCGACGTAGCTGCACTGTCGTCTGGCGACGACTTCTGCGTCGTGCATGGCTCCCAGTTCTCGTCTTCGTGAGCATCACGTCGACTGTCCTTGGCCTTCGAGGCTCCCACTCGATTTGCACATGCTTTCGCCTTATTCTTGCCTTTTGTGTTCTTCCGCTTGGAACCTCCCACTGAAGCTGCTGGCTTCTTAGCGTCCTCGCTTGGTAGCTGTGGGTCATCACTTCGAGTCGCAGACTCGGCTTCAACTTCAACACCTTGGTCCTGGCTCTTACCAGCAGTAGCCAGCTTCGCCATTTCCGCTGCTCGCTTTTCTGCAAGCTCTGCAGGAAGCTGCAGGTACGTAGACATTGTCGTCCGGATCGGCACGATCGGGATCTCCGCAGGTAAGTCGTAGTCTCCATAAGCGTAGGTGTTTGCAAGAAGTTGCTCAATATACACAGTGTTCACCGTGTACTTCTCATGTGCCTTCATGTTTCCATCTCTGCACGTCGTCACTGATCCTGTGCGCAGGTTCATCAGCTTAT